CCGCCTCCCTCCTCTCTGTCTGACACCCATGACGACCACGGCGCCGGGAGGAAGCCGCCGTCCGCGGCATCATGCCGCTGCCGGGGTAATCAGGGGCCGCCGCCACCGCGAGCCAGGGGAGTATAGGAGCAGCGGCCGAGGCTGGATGCCTCCCCCATCCTACGTGGTGACACAAGCCTCTTTTCAGCCTCGGCAATCCGGATCTGGATCTTGATGGGGAAACGCGCAAAGAGAGAAAGGGATCGGCGTACTGTTGCACATCCTGCTCGTCTTCCCCGTCGACATCGTTTTGCCCTTCGTGCTGCAGTGATAATCTTCTTCAGACTTCTGGATAGACTTCTCAAGAAAGAGACATGTACGTAACCCACGCCCATTATTAATTCGAGGTGATGCCTGCCTCCCCATTTGCCTAGCTTGTGAGACTGGACGGGCTGCATGTTTTGATTGTAGAGTGGTAGATGTATCCTGTATTCCTGTCAAGTGTCAACGTTGTGGAGCTACGTGCATTAGGATCAACCATTCAAGTCAATCTGCCGGTAAGCCCCAAATATCAACTTATGCTCCTTTATTCCTTTTCCCATTCACACTGCATGCAGCCATTAGTTTACGCGCGGAATCTGTAGCCCAATTAGGGGCTGCATGTTTTAATTCATAGGAACACAATTTGTTTGCACGCTGGACTATTGATTTCCTATAAAGTTTTCCTAATTTTTCTTCTCTCTTATTACAGTGCACTTATTTCTGCAATGATATATTACAGTTTGGATGTGGCAGCTGCAAGATTTTGCTTTTGGGAAATTTTATCAGGTAGGAGTTTGCTAACTGGAATATTATGGCAATTCATTCAGGAATCTTTCTTTTTTCCGAACTATCAGCAGAACCGAATAATAGGAGCATTTGACAGCATTTTTACTCGTTCTTTTGGTAGCATGATTTCATTCTGCAAACTGTGCCTCATTTGGAGAGAAACAACACTTCTGATGGTAGCTTTCTGACAATTCCAATGTTGCAGTATCAAATAGAAAAGGAGGTAATAGACAATCTTCTTCCTACAGAGGAATCCAATGTTGTGAGCTTTATTTCTATAAAATAATGTTCTGATTATGATGTTCCTTCTCTCAGGAACATCTTGAACGTGCAGGTATGATTGTGATACACACTATGTGGTGTTTGTTTTTCATCAGTCCTTGTTTGTAATATCAAGTAAAAAAGGAGGTATCGCATGCTATCTTTGTCGTGCCACATGCATGATTGGGCGATTGTAATTTTGTTATGAAAGTGTGGAATATAATCGTAACATCTGCATTATGGAACACTGCCGGATCTGTACTTGACTTCAATGGTCCATTTGCCAATTCATTTATGCACTTATTGGTCGGAACAAGTATCCAAACATGTATTCTGAAGCTTAAGGCACGGTATCCTATTATGTGTTCAGGACTCGGAGGCAAATGCCGGTGCGTATCAGTTTTGACATATTGATTTCATATCCTTGATGTAACATGCATTTCCTGAAGGTGATATTGATTGGCATTTGCGTGCTTTTACTTGTTCGTTTGCTGTTTTTGGCCAATTTTAGGGGCTTGAAGAGCTCCAAGACTTTTTAAAAGGGGATGAGCTACAAGACTATAAACTCAATCTGTCATTATGTATTAACTAATATCAGAAAATGATTTTAACTATAAGCTATGAAAAGGAGGTTTAGACTAATATCTCCGGTAAATCCTTGCCCTCAATTTGCCTATGATGCAGTGTAAGTGTATAACTACTATTAGGAATCACTCCACCAGGGATAAGCTGGGTTATTACTTCATGAAAACTGCTACTTTGACTAGAAAAAATAATCATAATATCATTGTATAGTTAGGCTTCCCTTAAAAGCATATACGTTGTGTGTTTCCCATTGCTTTTTTCCAGTAAGGAAACTATCACATGGTAAATCTTGCATTGTTCGCCTCTTTTTGCAGTTCAGTTATATTTAACTTAATATTTACTTAACAATATTATCTCCATTTATTGAAAATTATCGAAAAACATGGTTTGACTTTCTGTGATTGTACTACTATTTTTGTTGTTCCTGCTATTGTGTGTACCATCACTCCTTAGTACTTTGATCAAAATATTATTTATGTATTGTCTTCAACTTTCTAAGTGAATGATGTTTCTGACCGAGACTTCATCCTGAAGATCTCTAATCCCAATGTTTATGAATGAATAACAAAAAAAGAAAGGCTTGCTTCTCTTTACCCTTGAACGAAAAGTTAGGTATCAACTTGTGGTCAAGCAACCTTGGGACATATACAACATAGATGGAGAAACAGTGGTCGATTCTGATTGTGATGTCATTGATGCAGGGGAGATGATGATGATACGAGTGGTGATACATGCAGCGGACTAAACGTGGACAAAAGGCTGGATTTTTTTGGGGGCATGTAACACACTAATTTCAATATTGTTATTTCTAAATGAAATAAATGGGTGCACTGGTATCCCTATTTTTACACAAGTTCATAAATGTGTATCATTCTATTGACAAAATGAATGGGCGCGGCAACGCGCGCCATCGATGATCTAGTTGTACTATATATATGGGGCTGTTCTTTGCCTTATGACTATGAGTTTAGGACTTGCTGCTATAGTTTATGAACTGCACTATGTTATGTGGCTGTTTGCATGAGTATTGTAGGAACTACATAATACAGTATCATTTTTCTATTAACTTGGATGTATGGTAGTTGATATATGTCCATTTTCAAGTATATATATATATATATATATATATATATATATATATATATATATATATATATATATATATATATATATATGTCAAGTTGATGACTGATTCTATGTTTATTTTTTCATTTTTTATTGATTTATACTGAAACGCTAAATGGGGCTTAGCACGCTATAGCTGCGCTATAGCGTTTCATAGCTTTTGGTCAGGCTGACGCTAAGAGGCTTAGCGCGCTATCTAAAACTTTGCTTCTGGTGGTTGCTTGTGGCCATTCTGTTGTGTTAGCAAAATAAGCCATGGTGGGCGCGGCCAGTGGGCGTGCATATGTGAGCTGGTTGAGCCGGACACCGGTCTGAGCCTTGTTAGGGTCCATGGCAGGGTGCGTGCCTGCGTGTGTCTATTGGCGAAGAACCAGGGGGGTGAGCACGTCGCCAGCACCGGTAGTGGCTGCGTCGTCCGCGTCCGAGCGCGGCGAGTGCGCGAGCACGGGGCGCGTGGCGTGGCTAGTAGGTGAGTGGGCGGCGTCGTGGCGCGTGTGAGCGCGCGCGTATAAGACTCTCCGAACCCCTGTTTATCGGAAGGTGTAGCTCGAGTTTGTGCTTGAGAAAAAAGACGTCGTTGCGGCGGGCGTTCGAGCGCCGCAAAACCAGCACCGTTTCCACTGCTGTTTCTTCTTTCTTCCTTGTTCTTCAGCGTGTGATAGAGAGAAGTACAGAGAGAGTGAGAGAGCTCCGGCGGACGAGAGAGGAGACCCCGACTCCAACACTTTGGTGATAAATTGACGGGGGCAGGGTGCTTTCGCAATCACATTCACTCAGAACTGCCTGACAGCAACTCAATCATACTGACGTACAGAACCATCTACAATCATATGTCAGTCATGACAACCTGCACCTATTTGATATAATGGCTTGATTAAAATATATCCACACAATTACTAGTAAGTAAATACAGACAAAGCAAGCAACAAGCAATAAGCAACAGCTCAACATTGATTTTTTGCAGACAGCCGGTAGGTGGGCGATTAGTTGGCACAGCACGTGGGCGGCCAAATACATATACTAGTCAATCAGGACTTGCCTCATTGCTCTAATTATTAAGCAACTGGCAATTAGTCTTGTCCTAAAATATAATATTTCCTTCTACGCCTGCCTACCCTTGTCCATATATGCGTATAAAATTTAGAATTCGTCGTCTGCTGGTGCTGGGTCAGTCATATATGGTGTGCATGATAAGCTGTTTAATCCGGACGGCTTCTGAGGGGACAAATCACCCACCTTGTTCTTATATCAATTTAACATGTAAGAACCAATGGACCGTACGTCTTCATTGAGATATTGGTGTGATTGTAGATTCTCTGACCCAAGGCATCAATCTGCAACACAACCCCAAAACCTAGATATATTGATCCAAGGCACAACTAAAATAATTACATAAAAAAATAAGACAATCAATTACGATGCCAAGATATATTGATCCATTTGGGTCTATAATCATTTCTCTAAGCACCCAGCAAGTCTTATTTAAATATTAAGAACGATTTAGATGGGAAAGGTATGTTGTTTATAAGCTCCTGTTGTATGGTGAGATTAGCATTATTCATATAAATCTTTCAAGAGCATATTTTATTATTTTATACCAGTTGACACTATATCTCTCTTTTGTAGACAATTTTTATATGTGCATTAATTCTTGTGTAAGAGCTAGCTTGCTACCTTTGCGCACCGCCCGAGTAATGTAACAACCTGTACCAATTGATCAACTAGCAACACGTTATTGGAATTAGTTGATGACCAAAATAGTACCACTGCTAGTAGTATAGTGAAATGGCTTTATGATAAACTACTACTCCCTCCGTCTCATAATGTAAGACGTTTTTAGACACTAGTGTAGTGTCAAAAAACGTCTTACATTATGGGACGGAGGAAGTAAGACACAATTGAACGCGGACATGAGCAAGCAACAGGAAATTAAAAAGAGAGCAATTAGTGTGAGCGCTTAAACAAAGGGTGTAAAGACGTGTAGTAATGGGCTGTACATATTCTAAGCAGCCACTGGCCGGCCGGTAGGTGGGAGTTTAGGAGACTAATCGTGGGCGGCCAATTAGTCGTGCTTTAATGTATAGTTTTGGAAATAGGAGTCTCTTGCTCCACTAGCTACCTAGCTTTATAATCCCCTCCCCACGGCAAGAAGCTGCGCAAATCTGTTGCTAGCTTTCATTCTACCACACAGCCTAGAGGGGGAGGGAGAAAGCAAATAAACAATGTCGTCGTTCGCGCTTGGCTTGACCAAGACGGCGGTGGAGGGGACACTGAGCAGGGTAAAGTCGGCGATAGAGGAGGAGGATAAGCAGAGGGTTCGTGTGCAGGACGACCTGGTGTTCATCACCGGAGAATTCCAAATGTTGCAATCCTTCCTCAACGTTGCCAGTGCAGAGCGCGCCAACAACCCAGTGGTGCAAACATGGGTGAGGCAGCTCCGTGGACTGGCCTTTGACGTCGAGGACTGCGTCGAGTTCGTCATCCACCTCGACAAACCGTCGCACTGGGACTGGGTGCGGCGCCTGACCTCGTCCCTCATCTGCATGGCAAGGCCGCCGCTGCTGCTAGACGTGGCGGTTGCCGAGATAAAGCGGCTCAAGACCAGGGTGGAGGATGTAAGCCAGAGGAACACACGCTACAACCTCATTAGTGACTCCAACTCCACGGCGCAGGCGCTGAACCATCAGCCGGCCGACACGCCCGGTACCGGCGCATTCCACATCCTAACCGAGGTGTGGGAGGACGCCGGTAAGCTGCGCACCACGGGGGATCTCAAAAAGTTGATCACCAGTGAAGGAAGTGACCTTCAAGTGATCTCGCTGTGGCATGGAAGTTGTAGTGAAGGCGGCGCTGCTGCTGATCATCATCTTGGCTCCACGTACATTGTCAAGGAGGCGTATGATGATCCAGAAATCCGCCAAGTATTCACGAGCCGCTCCTGGGTCAAGCTGATTAACCCTTTTAACCCCGATCAGTTCCTCGAGAGCTTGCTGACTCAGTTCTACGCTAGCTCTCGTCAACCAAACATAAGTGCTGGCTTCAGGAAAGAAATGAAAGCAGCGGTGGCTATGGAAAACGATCAGCTGATGCAGCAAGTCACCGAGCAGAGGTATCTCGTCATCCTGGAAGATTTATCTTCTGTACTAGAGTGGGATGCTATCAAAATGTACCTGCCCGACAGTAGAAACGGCAGCCGAATCATTGTGTCCACGCAGCACTTAGGGCTTGCACGTTCATGCACAGGAGATCCGTACCAAGTATTGCAGCTCACACGCTTTTCTCACGGTCAATCTATCTGCGCCTTTTCCAAGAAGGTATGGGAACTCTCTTTGATTCTACGTACTATGGTGAAAATTACTCTCTTCCATTCCAAAACACACAGCCTTTCTATGTTCCAGTGAACCGAGATGCAACCCCTTGAGACTAGTCTATATGAATATGTTATTAGTAATTAAAAAATACATCATCAGTAACTATGGGTTCTACTTCAGCACACCCCCTTCAATTAAATCATTGGTGAAGATTTAAAAATATATAATGATATTGTTTTATTGGTTTATCTCAGTAATCCTTTTATGAATACATAGTTAAAAAAAAAACTTTGACTGCACACTTATATAATACGACAATCTATTTCGGAACGGAAGTAGGATAAACTAGCTAGTCATTAATTACTGCACATTGTGGCCATTCATTTATTTTTTATTCTATGTACACTACGTGGTCATATTTTTGCACAAATTTAACAAGTGTTTACATTATAACATGTTGGACAACTAGGACACAAAATTAGTTTCCTTCCTGAGACATGCTATCTCATAGATAAATTAATTTTTAACTTGTAGTTTTATACAAGTGTACATCATGACATCCCTAGTACTAGTAGGAGTATTTAAGAAAAACTGATTACCTTCTGTACACTTCCATGAACCGCGCCCACATCACTCTTCTGCCCAAGACTGTGGAACCAAGTTCGCCAATTTTCTTTTCTGCCTCATCTCGCTGCACAACTGCATCACAAAGGCCCTCTCCAAGGCGATGACTATGCGCTTAAGACCTATCATCCCATTTCGATTTCATCCAAATCATACGGGTTTCCGTCACTAGACTGCAACTTTGAAAAGAAAACGCTTCAAAACTGAGCAATGCTGCTTCACGCGCCAAGAGGCCACTATCGTCCTAAAGCTAGATTTTTAGCATGCTTTCGACTTCATCAGTTCGGTCGCGTTCGACTACGTCCTTGTTGCCAAGGTTTCCCCACAACGGTAGCAGTATTGGGTTGATGACCTAAATAGTATCAGCCTCGTCGCCTTGGTGCTGAACAGCGTCCTAGGAAGATGTGTTCTATGCAAGCATGGACATTGGCAGAGGGACCCCATCTCCCCTACCTATTTATCCCCATCATGCATGTGCTTCAATGTCTCATCTGGGTTGCCACCCTTGGGGAAATGATGGCGCACCCCTCTATCCGTTGTTTCCCAGCCACACTCCGCAGTACACGGGTCCTTGCTCGATGCTTTCACCG